TTATGAACATGTGTCTGTGTGTCTGTGGTCTGAGGCAGCAGTTCTCACCTCTCTGAGCAGGCAAAACTAACTAACTGATGCCTTTGCATGCAACACCTGCCATATATGCAAATGCCAAGCTCAATACGTTTTGACTTTTTCATTGTTAAACTCTCAAAAATAATACCCGATGATATTTTTACAAACTTTACCTTTGATTTTTGATAATGTAAGCATGAATATATCATGTTAAAGAGCAGCCCAGTTTCCAGAAGAAAATGTTGGCATAATATGTTTCTGCAAACGGTGAAAACATTACATTAGCACATTTGATAGGTATCACATCAATGCTTCTATAGTTAGATAATATATAAGCTGTCTTTGTCATCATGAGGTTGGGATGGTGGATAACATGCCGCCAAGCTGCAGACCCCTGTTCAAGACCAACAGACAGCAAAACCAGTTGCATTTTTTTAACGAGTTATTGCGGGTTTCTATCGGCTTTTTAGGCTCCCAATGTTGGTGTTTTGTAGCAACCTATCTGTATTTTTTCAGCAGGGATAGTGCCACAAAAAGTTGTTGTTTTTGATTGTACCCCCAGAACTGGGTATTATAAGAGCAAAACATGATATTTTCTTAACAATAACCAAGTGTTTTTTGTGTCTAAACCTAACCACTCACTAACAGCGTTGTTAAAATGTAAATTTTCACCAAATCTGCTTGAATTTTTGTTATTTTTTTGGCAACTGGAATGCAGCTATATAGAAAAACTTAAGATTTTCACAGGCTTGTATCACATATGAAATAAATTAAAGACATTTTTAATCTTAACATAAGGTGCCAGAGTCATGCAAGATAAAATACACAAATATTACACACATATTCATCAGTGTTAATACATTTTTACAACAAATACAATACTGGTACTGTTTGTTTTTGTTGTTGGTGGTAGTATTTTTTTTTCCAGAACTGAACCTGAGAGAATGAAATCTCTTCTATAATTTTACAATAGAATTATTGCAGAGAAAAAGAAAATCACTGTCCAGTATCTTGCAACCTCCCCAAAACAGTCTGTGTTTATCCAGCAGGGATAGTAGCACAAAAAGTGATTGTTTTTGATTGTGTCCCCAGAACCTGGTATTTTACGCCAAAACATGATTTTTTCCTGACAATAACCAAGTTGTTTTTGTGCCTAAACCTAACCACTTGCTAACAAATCTGCTCCATAATAACATACATATGTAACACAGTAGTAACACACAGGGTCTCGTTTTCCTTTGGGCAAATGGATTGCAGCTATGGAGAAATACGTAAGATTTTCAGGGGCTTAAAATAAGTTATTTTCAATCTTTACCTAAGGTGCCAGAGTCCTGCAAGATGAAATACACAAATATTACACACATATTTTTCAGTGTTAATACATTTTACAACAAATACTTTTTTTTTTCTTCCCAAAATTGAACCTGGGAGAGTGAAATCTCTAAAAATTTCACAACAGAAGGATGGAAAAAAAGTTCCTGTCCAATAACTTATCATGCAACCTCCCCAAAATCGTCTTGGGACATTCATGAGAACCACGGGGTACAATGAGCTAAGAATGTGTCTCTCTGTTTTCCTCCCTTTTTTCCTTCTACTCTCCCTTACTCTCTTCTCCCCCTCATGCTGACCTCACCTGTGCGTAGCCACGGTCACAAACAAACCCCATCTGGCAAGGTGTGCAGTCCATTAGCATACCATCGTCTCCGGCACAGACACAGGAAACTCTCTGTCATCAATACACTGCGTTCTCTCTCTCGTCTTCATCCAGCAGCAGGCTGAGATGGTCATTACCATGGAGACTGTGGTCACCATAGAGTAGCTAACTTATGTTTGACACTGAACAGATGTAGCAGTTGTTTGGTGCTTTGCAGTAGTTTGTTATGTTTTATAGGCCAGTAACTGTTCAACTCTTTTTTAATTAGGACACATTTCCAATTTATTTGCTTCTCTTAGCAGTGCATAGGCCAAACTTTTGGGTGCATATCCCTTATGTTGCATACAATCAATCCAATTTTGAAGGTGGATAGAGTTGGCAGTCTAAGGAGAGGACATTTCTTTAGGAGGAAGTTTGTATATTTACATTATTTTATCAGATTATCACAGTGTCCGCGGCTGTACTGGGTCATTAACTAATGAAGATGATGATGGGAGCAGTATCAGATAGCCTTGTGGTGAAGGTCTGGTGGGTAGCTGAGTTATAAGGTCTAACTCTGTGGATTCATAGCTGACCTATTAATAGCAGAAAGGATGACTGGTTAATGGGTCCAAAGGTTGACAGGGGTGAGAGGGTTTTTCTTAAAAGCATGTTGCGAAATGGGCTTTACACCAGTCAGAGTGCAGAGACCTGAGAATGCTCTTCACAGTGGACCCTAAGAGAATATTGTGATAACATGCAATAAAGCTTCTGTTGCATCTGCATTGTGATTGATGCTGTTGGTGAACTGGGAAGAGCAAACCAGAACTGTAATGATTCCAACAGCTGAATAATGAACTTGTTTCTGTAAGGGACAGTATGGAAATGACCAAAAAGATTGATATTGGTTATGAGGTCACATTTTGCAATACAAGGTCAGCTGGTGCCTCCGTACAGAGTTTATTTTGCTTATCAAGATCAACCAGTAGCTAGCTCAGTTTTGAGAATAGACATTGATATTTGTTAGCGATTAAATGCCATATTCTTAGCTGCTGCTTCTTCAGCTCCCTCTTTCTTTGCTATAATGTTTATTTCAAACTGTCAGCATGCTACATAGTTTCAGAAGCACACATGAGAATCACGTACATACAGATGACGCACTGAGAAAATGAAATGAAAAGCAGTGCCAAACAAAAAAGGCATTAAAAAAGAAACAAATCTAACATAACTAAATAAATAAATCTCTCTCCCCTCTTCCTTTCTTTAAATTTTGTTATAAGAATTATAAACAATCAGTTATACACAAGCAGCAACCTCCGGGGCTGAAAATTGAAGCCAATGCAAAGCGCCAAAAACCGCAGTTCCTTGAATGGCCACTTGAGGCTGGCTCCAAGAGCGAGTCATTCCACATAAACCCCCATGTTAAAAGACCCAACTTTACAGAGAAATATACATGCATACAGCCCGGTACAAAAAACTGCTCTGGTCTCTGTGGCTTATTTCAAAGTTTGTTCCAACTGTACATGGGGTGAATTTTTATATAACAATTTATGTGCAAATTTTATATGCAATTTATGAAATATTAAAATTATGCACATTTAAAGACAGGCTTGCTTGAGTGATAGGCTATCTGAGAGGCGTCGTTACAGTCTATAGGTCAGATTTCACCCCTCATTCCTCTACAGCTCCATCCTCTCGTCCAAATATGGTAACATCTGGCTCCAAAAAACCAAGGTAGCAACAGCCGAATGCCAAACTTGAGTCTTCAAAACAGGAGTCCACAAACCAGTGTGTGACCTAATGGTAGCTTTGTCCATTACTTTACACACTCTTTGGGCAGGACCAATTCAATGTATTATTTCTTTCCCTCACCACTGGCTGGTCGAGGTAAAACGCATCACTTTGGGTGCGCCAATGCAGGAAAGTCGCCGCAGATGCCACAATAGAGTGCTCCAGGAATGAGTCCTAAAACCTGGAAATGAGAGCATTTTAGCACCCTCAGTTCCCTGGCCTTGAGGTCAATGGGTTTTTTGAATGGGTTTTTGGTTATATGCCTGCAGTAAGGTGCAGTAAGCGTACATGTTTTGTTCTACAACATAAAATACGTCAGTAAATTACCATTTGTGAATTATGAAGCTTTTATGTGTCTTTAAGAGGGTGGTTGCTGACAAGTGGCCAAATGAGACTACAGAGCATTATTATGCCAAACACAGTTTTACAGCCTGGTTGTGGTAGGAATGATGAGTCATGCAACCATAGTGTAGTCAGTTTATAGCCTAACATTGGCTTTTTACTCTTGGTTATTGCATTTAGGCTTCAAAAATCAATAAATAGTGCTCATTTGTGAAGATTATCTTGCTGAATAAAAGGTGTAAGTATCATAAACTTTTGTTTGCCACAGAGCTTATTTTCTTCAATAATCCAAAATCCAATGGAAAAATCCTGTTGCCTGAATCCTGACGCTAACATCTGCGTCAGCCTTTAGAAAAACTTCATCCCCGGAGCACTATTCCAGTTTACTGTGAGCTTATTACTGGTGGCTAAATCAGCATTGTGTGAACTTGTTTGGCAAGAGCTTGAACGTTACACAAGTTCATTCTTATGAAGAAGTCACTTTAGCTTTTCATGTGTCAAAAATAAAAGAGAAATTCATAATATACAGTTTATATAAAGTGACAACCCCCTAGTTAAAAAAAAGGAAAAAAGGCTGTGATAATATACTTTTAAAGCTTAGCATTTCAATAGGGTCATATTAAATTGAGATATTCATAGGATGGTGTTGCATTTTTTTTTTCTAAGTCAAGAGGAGTGTCCAAATAAAATATTAATAGTGTTCCAATGGGTCTTGTGTATTCATTTGTTTATTTTAAAGTGAACCATGACATTCAGCACCATCTGATTCTTGCAGTATTTCACACATGAATGGGGCATGGGCACATCTGACTGCTCTTAAGAAGAGAAACCAGAAGGAGGCAGCATTGTGTTGCAAGTCACAAGACACAAAGACACTTTTCTAAAGTTAAATCAGATGTGGAAATAATAGAGAACAGTAAGGAGGGAACTAGAATCAGGCAAGTACACCTGTGTTACTAAATATTAGAGTTGTAAGTTCTACAATGTGCACTTTAAACACCTGTTTTACTCCATCTTTTCTCTCATGCATGCAAATTTGCCGTGTGTAGTCTGTGTCTGTGTGAATGCATTCCCAGCGGGGTGTATCAGTGTATACAGAGCCATCTCTCAGTATTTATAACCTACCCTACCCTTCCTATCCCTCCCACAGCACGGGAAAATGATCTTCACTTGAAAGACCATCTGCAAATACCACTCAGGGCACTGTAATGTTCCCAATATAACCTCAGAGCACAGCCAGCTGAGGGGTCCGGTCAGCGGCCACAGTCTGAGCTGTAAAGGAAGTGACAGGCACTAACTCTGCTCTCTGGATTACCTTTTCTTCACGTGTTTGGAGGAGCACCATGATGAAAGGGGAAGATTCAGAGGAAGTAGAGATTGACTTGGAGGACGCCAGTGGTTCTGATGAATATGACAATGAGGGGGAACCTGAGACTCTGTGGAGGGCCCCTCCTGCACTGGAAGAAGAGGAGAACATTCATACGTCTACACTGGTGGAAATCAGTGACACCAAGCCTCTGATTAATGTCAGAGACCCCCGAGGCATCAATGACTGTCTCAAGGTATTGCAATCCTATGCAGCAGCTCTATTAAACATTACTTTATGCACCTTTTGTGCATTTGTCATATGCAGTGAATTAGCTGAAAAAGAAAACAGCTTGGCTGATTGCACTGCCCTCCAGTGGATATAATTTATTTCTGAGCGTGGATCAAGTTCAACAGGAACATGCATCAGCACCACTTTCTCTTTGTGTGTCCAGGTGTCATTTGAGGATGTGATTGCTGAGCCGGTGTCAGTGCGCAGTGGGGACAGAGTGTGGATCTGGAGTAATGCCCTGTTTGAGGTGTCTCGGGTTTGGGCGTACAGGATATTCACAGTGCTTCTGGCCATTCCCGTTTCAATTTTCGCCGGACTCCTCTTCGCCATCCTCAGCTGCCTGCACATCTGGTAGGTTACATCAGGCCTTCCTGCACATATTAAAGGCCCAGTGTGGAGAATTTTGGGGCATTTATTGACAAAACAAATTGTATATAATATTCATAACGATGTTTCCTTTGGTTTATATTCACCTGTATATACTGTAGGAACTGTGTTTTCATCACCTTAGAATGATGTGTTTAAATCTACATACAGGGTGTATCCTCTCACACAGAGTCTGCCATGTTCTTTCTGAAGTAGCCCAGAATCATCCTGCCCTCACCAAAAAAACAATAATCATCATAATAATAATAATAATAATAATATTTATTTGTGCCTCACAAAGTGCATAAAAATAAGACAACAAAAGTACAAATCAGGCATTAAAAGGGAAAGCTTTCCTATAAAAACATGTTTTAAGCAATGATTTAAAAACAGGTAATGTGCTAGCCAGCCTAATCTCCTCAGGTAGAGAATTCCAGAGCTTCGGGGCCTTGATGGCAAAAGCCTGGTCACCTTTAGTTACCAGCCTTGATCTAGGGACAACTAGTGAGGGTAGGCTTAACGATCTCAGTTCACTACTTGGAGCATAGTAAGAAGCTCAGCTATAACCTGGTGTTAAACCATGTTGAAATTTAAATGTTTATTTTAAGCCGGTGCCTTCCAGTGGGCATAGTAATTAATACAGGAGCAGAGGAGGAAAGACATAGCATATAAAGTGACAAAGTTCATGTAAAGTTGTACAAATCAAAGAAGCCTTCATAGGGTGGGCAGGAAGGGAGGTGGATGGGTCCAAAAACACGGGCTGTCACCCAAGAGACTGGTGTTCCTTTCCCAAAGTCAGCATTGACGTCTTGTAATAACAGTGTAGCCTAGTATGCTTGTAGGTGTTGCATGCTACCTTAGTGACATATATGACATGATACCCTGATATTTTCCTAAACTTACCTACATAGTTTTGTTGCCTAAATCTAACCTTGTAGTTGAGCGGAACTGCAAGTGTTTGATGACGTTAGGGACGTGTTTAAAGTTGTGACCGTCATTTTGGGGCCATATGGGTCATGTAGACCTAGGTTGTTTTGGATTCAGAAGAAATCAACCTACTCCGTCCTTTAGGTATAGAGTGTTGCACAGAATGAACACACCAAAAACTGGCTCTAGTGAAGACCATTCACGTCTTCATATTTTCATGCCAACCTCCGTAGTTCTCTTGCAGGCTTGGCACATGTTTCAGTTCTGCAACCTCACCACTAGATGCCACTAAAACCTACACACTAGACCTTTAAGGGAACCACAAAGACAGTGTTTCTCACTTCCTGCTCATGGTCTCAAGTCATACAGATAGTTTGGGTTTCATTTGGCCAGGCCTTGAGCTACCCATCTGAAATTTCTGACTCCACCCCAGTGACATTGGTTTCATGGAAGTTTACGGAAGGAGGACGCACAACTCCAATATTTTTAAAAAACAAAGGGTGCAAGTTGCAGAATGATTCCAAAAACTTGTGGGCAACAGCACTCACAAAAGACAAAAAAGCCTTCTTCAGTGTATCAAACCACACTGATTCCCTGAAGAAGGCTTAGGCCGAAACGCGTCTGACCATGTGTTGCCCTATTAAATTATACATTTTGATTTTTTTTTGTCTTATGTGAGTGCTGTTGCCCACAAGTTTTTGGTTTCATGGAAGTTCGTTTGTGGTGCTCACATCCCTATAAGACACTTGCAAGCAGCCCTGTGAGACTGTGGTACTTTGAGCTAAATGCTAAAACCAGCATGCTAACATTCTCACAATGGCAAGCTCACATGCTGATGTTAAGCAGGTATAACGCTAACTATGTTTACCATCTTAGTTAGCGTGTTAGCAGCTAATATGAGGCTGATGGGAATGTCATTGTTTTGCAGGTAGTCGGTCAATCAATTTAATAGTTGTCAAACATTTTCAATGAAAACCACGAAAAGTGGCAGTAGAGGAAAATTTAGTAGATCATCAATGTAATAAGTATTTATCGTCTGGCAGCCATGACTGTCCCTACAAAATTTTGTTTCAATCCAGAATGTTGAGATATTTGACAATTTATGTAAGAAGTTTCAGAAAAACATCTTTCTTTCTGGGATCTGGGGGTTATGTTTGTAATTGCTGTGTTTCTTTCCATGACAGGATGGTTGGTCCTTGCAGCCAGTGTATCCAGATCGGCACACGCTGGCTGCAGAGGATGTGGAACATTGTGCTGGACATCATTGTGCGGCCCACCCTCACGAGTGCTGGGAGATGCTGCGGAGGCTTCAGCATTCACCTTGCCAAAGAATGACACTTAGACATCTAGACTGGGGTTGTTCGTTACACGCACTGGTGTTGTAGTCGACTGAGCTGAAGTGGGCATTGACATTTGATTCTTTAATATAAAAAATAAAATGATTATAATGACATGTTTTCCACAGTTTAGATGCTTCTGATCAAAGTCCAGCAGCATCTGCTGGTCCTTTTTAATGATCACACAAGGCTCGTGACAAGTTCAAACAATAATTTGGACCTGATACAGTGACAAATAGAAGGTGATTTAATTTTTAACTTCATCCGCAGAGGGTGAACTTTCTTTTTAGTGAGTCAAAAAGAGGATAACAATTCTTAATATCTGAAATAAGATGAAGAAAACACAGTCTCTTTAAAACCTTTCAAAACAGTGATTGATCTGAGGAAAATGAGAAAGATGAAAGTCCCTCTTTTTGTTAAAGCAGTGCTTTTTTCTCACATTGGGGTTACAGCTCTGTATGATTTTTACAATTTGATTAACTTCAGCATTGACTGTAATGCAAATGGATTGTTGTATCATCTTTATGTCATAATACTGGGGTTTGGGTTTATATTTTGGTAAAAAAAAAATTTAAGCTCCAGGAACAAAAATTTATGAGAACCTAATTTTAATTACAGAAGTTTAGGAATGTCAAACTATAAATATTTAGCTCAGGAGAAAAGAAGAAATACTTCAAATTATTGTATTCTTAGGGGAAGAAATGGCAACAATAGATATGGATAACTAATTACTCTCCACTTTATACTCATCATTGTGATTTAAACAGATATTTAAACCACTGTCTGTTACAACACTATTGCATGGATGATATTAAGGTCAGCAGGACAGGGGATATACATATGCCTTAGAAGAATATATGATGGACTCCTTTCCATGCGAATGGTGGGTGTGCACATGTTGTGCATGTTTCTGTACATGTATTGGCATAATACTAGGTTTTTGTTCATATTCTGTTATCCTATGGACTTTTGGAGTTTTCTGTTTGTGTTCCTTGTTTCATGTTATTCATTCATGTTTAATCTGCTTCCTGTTTTATTTTGTAGATTCTCTCCTCCTGTGTCGTGTCTGCTTTTACTTCCTGTCTTTGTGTGTTTTCTGTCACACCTGTCTCGTTAGTCCTTCCCTGTTCCCAGAGTCTTCCCTTCACACCTGTACTGGATTACTCTTGTTTGCTCCACCCTAGTGTTCCCTGCCACACCCTTGTTGTTTGCCAGTCCACATTTCCCTCATTTTGCCCGTGTTCACCTACTCCAGCTGTGTCTTGTTGTGATGTTTTCTGTGTGTATACCTGTGTGTTTTCCCTTTGTTCCTTGGCAGTTCCTCTGCATTCATTCCTGTGCTCATCCCTGTGTTCTTGGTGTTGTTCCCTGCTCTGTTTCCTGCCTGGTGTCTTGTGTTTTGTTAAGACTTTTTACCTGAGTTCATCGTATTGTCCCAGTTGGTTTTCGGTTAGTTTTGGTTCTTCTGTCATTTGGACTTTCTGTTACCTACATCAGCTTTATTAAAGCTTGCTTTTTGTTGAAAACGTCAACCTGCCTCTTACTCTGCATTTGGGTCCATCCTGAACTGATTTATAACAGGTATATCTCAATGTATTTCTGTGCATGTGTGTGTGTGTGTGTGTGTACATTCCACTTCCTCTTCCTCACCATCACAATCCTGTAAAAACAGGATGTAGCAGATTGCTTACTGATAATCGCTGTGTATTGGCTTATTCATGCCAATACACAGTCAGCAATAAAAACCAAACCACTGTTTTAAAACATCCATCACCATCTCTGTCACCTTTGGTCACACACCCACACACACACACACACACACACACACACACACACATTTTGAGACATACATATACACACCAGTGCACGCTCATGCACATAGTGATTTTCCTGTCACTTTGTCAATGTGGATGGAAATGAATTAAACATGATCTTATACCATACTGACTGTTGTGCAGTATAGCACCTTCTTACGGCAGTGTGAACTTCAACATGCTTCCCTTAGAAAAAATTGCTATATTTTAGCAATAAACATGCTTTTTTTAATTTATCATTATTAAGTAAATGTTGATTGTGCACTGTCATATCTATAGACACCATCTGCATTTTGACTGTCTCCCTAATAAGCCTCTCTTTCACTATGCAATTCTGTCTGTCTGCCACCAGGCTGGGGAAATGAAGGCTCGATTTACAGCACAAAGAAAGTGCATCAACCACTGTTCTACCAAAACAGGAAGAAGAAAGCACTCTTGTTACCGAAAAGTATCAGTGTAAGTTCTTTGCAGTCAGTATTCCCAGTAGCAGAGTGAATGTTAGATAACCAAGATTGGAAACTGTGATAGTTGAGGCTCTGAGGGAAACAGAAAGCGATTTGGTTGTTTGTGCAACAGTGGCGCCAACAGGAACAACATGGGTGGGGGAAGCTGAAAAGTTGTGTGTTCTCACTTTAACTGTGAGTTGTCACAAAAAGGAAGGACAGTGTGTCTGTGTGTGTGTGTCTGTGTGTGTGTGTGTGTGTGTGTGTGTGTGTGTCCGTCCCTATACTTGGTGTTGCATGTCAGCAGTGCCTTCTGTATCTTTGACAGAGATAGTCATCATTGGCATTCCTGGATTGGAAAAAAAAACAAAACTGTGTGGCGTTTCAGTTCAATTGCCACTTCCAATTTTGGCTCTGACTACTGCCACGCCCACAGGGCATCTCATCACCTCTTCACAACTTTCGCTTCATTATCTCAGCTTCAGCCTGCTCCTTCAGTCAGAGACCAGGACCATGGAGTATGATAACGACAGCCACAGGCTGATGATCAGGAGGGACAGCCTCAGCAGGGAGATTGACCTCACCAACAGAGACCCCAAGCAAATCAATGAGGATGTGGTCAAGGTGAAAATAATCTGTGTTTGCTTTATTACCATAGCTGGTAAAGCAAAGGCCTGAGATAATTCTTTCTAACACTGGGTCATGGTTGACTTGTTGATTTGACTGTGTGTGTTGTCATGCACAACAGATTGTTAACTATGAAGCCTTTGCTAACATTTAATTAAACTTCGAAATTATGGAAAAATATTGGTTGCAATTTGAAGCTTTCAGTTACCTGGGAAGTTTTAAAGGGTTCATTTTGAGTAACATTTAAGCTTTAAGCCAGTCCTTAAAAGATATCGAATTTTGCGATATTACAATAAAAAATGTTTTGATACTGTCATGGGACTGTGAGGATACCTCTTTGTGAAGATATTACATGATTATTTCACTGATGTCTTCTTGTTGAAAATTGTCAGGGTTCGATGACATGCTTGCCCACCAGGCAAGTAAACTCAGTAAACTCTGAACAGGCAAGAGTGAAATAAATAGGGTTGGAAATTATCACCAGCAACAAGCCAAATGCCTGTAAAATATGGAAGTGGCTGCTATATTTGCTTAATTTACCATCCAAAAAACAATGGTAATCTATTGAGAGGCTGGTAGATTTTTTAATCCACCTACCACAGTAGCAGGGGGACAAATAAGCTAATTTCCAACAATCAAAATAAATAATGTCTAATGTAATGTTTTCTAAAAAATAAATTGTGCACTGTATTTCTGCAGTGGAGCTTTTCCAGAGATTCATGAACAAATCTGTGTCACCACCAGGTGTTAATAACTATGAAAAAAGACATACTGGACACTATATGTTACCAACATTAAATATCTCTGGAATGCTGCATGTAAGAAACTTACTGTTGTTGTTTTTATTCCTTTTGTTTGTTTGTTTTTTGCCCAGAAGCTAACGTTAGCCATCAAGCTGTTCCAAAGGGAGCTCTGGTGCAGTTATATCCCTTCCAGAAGCTTTGTTATTCAGCCTTGAACTGTGGAGTCTCTCTTTCGACCACCCAAAGCACTTTTTACACTACAAGTCACATTCATCCATTCTCACACATATTCATACACTGGTGGCCAAGGCTACTATACAAGGTACCACCTGCTACTCAGATTTTTTTCTTTAACACTCTCACACACCCTGATGGAACAGCCATGGGGAGCAATTTGGGTTCTCAGGGATACCTCGACATGTGGTCTGAAGGAGCAAGGGATCGAATTGCCGATCTTGCGATTGGTAGACGATGAACCGCTCTACCTTCTAAGCCACAGCTGACACTGAATGACTTTTGTGATTATTTATCCATTATTCCATGGTGAAAACTGTGTTGTTAGCAATCTAGCCTGAAGCTTTGAGGTTTACACAGCACAATGGGACAACAAGTGACCCCTCTTGTTTTTGGCTTAAAATGTTCCTCCAACCTTAAACTGACCAAAAAACAATGTTTAAAGGAAATGGCCACTTTTGAATGAAAATACAGACAGTACTTACTCACCCTCATGCCGACAAGAAGTCCAGTGTATAGTTTTTTTAATCCACAAAACTTGTTCGGGGTATCGGAGGATAACAGCTAGCCGGAATAACAGCTACACTTGAAATGCATGGAACCCACATTTTGAAAATGTAACAAAACTCCGCTAATGCATTTCAAAAACGTTAGAACGGCTCGTCCGTCGTAATCCAAGTGCCCTGAAGCCACGGCATGCAAAATTGACTTGAAAAGACATAATTTACTCAGAGTACAGACTGTATAAAATAATGCTTAGACCCAAAAAGAATATGGTGACAAATCACATCAGATTTATTTTTAATAACGGTATGTTTTTTGAGTCATCATTTTTCTTTTTTATTATCATGATAAATACAGCATTGTAGACCTTTTATTGTGATATTATCGTACCATGAGTTTTTGGTATTGTTACATCCAGATTCAATTTTTCTTTTGCAGAGGGCTTCAGATCTCTGCTGCTGACACATCTACCACTACAGTGACATTCAAAGCACTGAAAAAAATGCATTTGTTTCCAGAAACAGTGTCTCTTACTCAGGATAATCCACAGTCTTTACTATGAATCGTTTCCATTATAATATAAATATCATCATATTATGTACTTGATGTCTCATTTTGAGGTCTGTGTATGTGTACTGTACTGCCTGGCTAAATGCTGCCTGGAGTAATTGGAAAAACAAGTTTATTTGTGATTTGTGTGAACTGACCATTTAAGCCTGTATAACCAAACACAGTAAATCAATGAACCCTCTCTGTATTGCCGTAGGTCTCCTTTGAAGATGTGATCGCAGAGCCTGCTGGGACACACAGTCTGGGTGGAGTGTGGAAAGCCAGCTACGTCACCTTCACAGGGTCAAAGTACTGCTGTTATCGCATCCTGACCACCTTGTTTGGCATCCCTTTGTCAGTGTTCTGGGGCTTTGCGTTTGCTTGTCTGTCATTCTGGCACATCTGGGCTGTTGCTCCCTTCATTAAGACTGTTATGCTTGAGTTACAATGCCTGACTCAACTCAACTCAATGTTCATACGCACCTACGTTAGCCCACTCTTTGAGGCAATGGGGAAGATATACAGCGATGTGAGGGTTTTCTTACACAAGGAGGGGTAAGTGCTGAGTAGCTGCTTTACTCTGGCATGAAGACCATTTACTGGACATTTCACTGACTTTGACAAGATCCACGAAACATCAGGTGGCAAAAATGACAAGATGCGTGTCATTTTTGTTTGTTAGTTCACATGTTGAGCTGATTTAATGTCTATTACTGGATGGAATTATACTAATGTCCTGTTTTATTAACACAATGAAAATTGTCTAAGCATGAATTTCACTCTTTTTACTCTATATTGATGCATGGGTGGATTATAAGACAGTGGGCTCCTGGGCCTAACACCTCTGCTACACAGAAGCAAGACGGTTTTATGTCTCCTTGTGGCTATTTTGTGTCCATTTGTAGCCATTTTTTTTGTCTCTTTGATATAATTTTGTGTCTCTTTGATATACTTTTGTGTCTATTTGTAGTCATTTTGAGCGTCTTCTTGGGGGGAAGGGGTGAGGGGTGCTGACACTGTGGGCCCCTGGGCCTGTGCCACATAGACATGGTCAGTAATCCATCCATGTATTTATTTAAGCTGTCAAACTTCAAATAAATCATGTTTTAAGTTCCTAAAATGGTTCCTTGCACTAAATTAAAGTAATTTCCCACATACCATGACAGAAAGATTGAGCATCAGTGAGTTGTGTCAGATGTTAGACTCTAATGACTCTAAAACTAAATGTGAAAGTGAGTTCTCGTGTTCCCACATGGTCTTGTTGGACAACCTTCCAGGTTATATAAAATTAAAGAAATGTTGAAACACACCCAGTAAGCCAAGACTGCACACTATCTGATCCAGATATGACATTCTTCATATGTTGAGTATAAACAGTTGGCACAATGCCTTGAATCTAGAGCATAAGAAACAGAGCAATAAACAGAGTGGCCACAGGGGGGAACTATTATTCTAGTTTGATCCCAACGAGATAAACAGCACTTCAATGTGCATGGAAGTCCAGGTACCTTATTACTCTCAAATCCCAACCACCTAGAGAAGAAGAGATGAAATTGATAAGACATATAGACACACACACACACAAGGATCAGTGGAAAGTATTTACAAAATGAATTTCATATCACATCATAAAAGACAAACACTGGTCGATCTGTAGCACAGGAAAGTCTGCTGAGAACATGCTGAAACCAGCCTCACTGTTTGGATTTTGGCTTTGCAAATATTTGCATTAAGCCAAACCTCAAAAGTAGGTATTATCTCGATAACCTTAATATCATTTATACATATCAATATATTGGATTTATTCACCCATATAATATAATAACTATAAAATGCCTGTACACAAAATAATGCTGCTTTAAAGGTGTAAATAATCATTACAGTCACTGAATTAATGCCCATTCGCACGGAGCTTAAAATATTTTTGTAATCTAATCCTTTAATAACCTCACATTTTGGATTTGCTGCACCTTGTACTTCATTATGCTTAACTTAAACCTGTCCTCATTTCCGGACACACTACACTGAAACTTTAATATTGTATTGTTGCAGCATTTCACACAGGCCAATTAGGTGTGACGGACTGTACCTAAAAGACATTCCTAGCTTGGAATAGAGCAACAAAAATTCAGATACGTCACATTATTTGCAATTTTGCATTTGCGCAGCCATGTTCAGGCATTGAAATGAATAGTATTTAACAGTGATCCCTAGAGCAGTGGTTCCCAACTGGTGGGTCGTGGTCCAAAAGTGGGTCACGGATCCATTCTGAACGGACCACAAGGGGCTCTGGAACATTCCAAGTTTGTAAAAAACACACTTTATTTTTAAGTAGAGTGAATTTCTGTCACAGAAATTACTAATTGGGAACCACTGCCCTAGAGTATAGAGTTACAAAACACTGAACGAAAGCTTCTTTGTTTGTAGTTTTGTTTTTGCACAACAATGTTCAGGCATTGAAATAAACTGTTTTATATTTTATTACACACATGACCGATAAAAATAAATCCATCGTCCCGACATAAGGACATCATTTTTTCCCAAAACTACAAACTGTTCAAAGACAATGCTTAGTTTTTTTATACTTTTCAGATCCTACTAACTAAATTAAAAATGCATACCAAACAAAAGCATGGATCTCAGGAGGTTAAAATGCATTAAGAATTAACTTACTTGACGAAAGAATTCCTTGTGCAACATCATTATAATTTGTGTTATAATTACTTGTCTTTTAAAGTAAAATCAGGACATCTGTTGAAACAAGAATTTAAGGTTTAAGACTAAAGGACAGAGGCATATAAACAACTTTTAAAATGCTTATGGTTGTTTAGGATACATCTTAAAAAGCTACAGTGTAAGAGAAATATATGGTTTGCAGGTGCAAAGGGAGTCCAGAAGACAAGTGGTAATATGAGAAAGCAAAAGTCATGCATCGATACAGATCTTTGCAGGAGATTTACAATGTCTACTTTGCTCAATTTAAAAAAAAAATTGTTGCAGTTGCCACCACAGTGCCACTGCAGATGCTTAAACGCCTGACATGTGAGACTTGCATGATTGCCGGATTGCTCGACTACAGGAAGCCTGGATGGCTTTCAACTGGCTCTTCAGTGTCCCGGTCCCCCTGTGCTGGATGTGTGTGTGAGGCTCCTCTGGCTGCCCGTGATCTTGATGACGCAAGTAGGGGATTTGCTTTTGTGCCTGCACTGTCGATCACAGCTGGAGGAGGAAGCTGTCAGGTACTCTCTACAGCAGCAGAAGAAGCATTGCATCAGGTCATGGAAGAGGTGACCGGCAAAGAACATGTAGATCCAGGGGTTACAGCAGCTGTTGAGACTGGCCAGCAACATGGCGATGATGAAGGCCATCTCTAAGGACAGAGACAGAGAGAGAGAGAACAACATGTGCTTGATATTTTTGATGAATATGTATATTCTTACAGCATGAATGAAGGACGCTGAGTCAATCTCAGATACACATTTACTCAGTAATGCACCAAATCTGCTGCTGCAAACTGTCCTAGACAAATGCACCATTCTCTCCACTTTGAGTTACATTCTCTACAAAATGAAACAACATATTTGTGAGGCATCTTCAAAGACTTCCATCCTCAGCAGGAGCTGGGTTTGGAGCTGTGCGCCACAGGCAGGGTAGATAAGTCAGAAAGCACCAAGAGATGGACTAAAATGTTGTTGCTTTTCATTTGTTGGCAAGGATAAAAATATAAGATATCACTGGCCTTGTCCTTTGAAAAAAAATTGAAAAACCTTGTCCCTGACCAGCAACTTGGCCAGGGTGTACCTCGCCTTTCACCCAGTGCATGCTAGCATAGGCTCCAGCCCCCTGTTGCCCTGAATAGGATAAGCAGTTTAGAAAAGAAATGGATGGATGGATTTTTAGAAAGCCTCTAAAGTAGCAGGTTTTCCTCCATTCCAATAAGATGTAATCACCTGGTTGTGGGCCAAAGTCCAAATTCAGTGTGTGTATGCTTTGTTTGGTCCTTCCAGCTGCACTTTTAAAGGGACAGTTCAACCCCAAATCAAAAATACATATTCCCAGCAGCAAGCAGCAGTTGATTCCCCAGATGATCCACTTTGTTTGAACCAATCCAATGGCATCCAGTCATTAGCAGTATGATTATTGTAAATGTAATATATTACTGCATTGCGTTTGGTAAAGAGCACATTATGACTTGTTTAGGACTTGAAACTCAAAGTTTGGGACTTGGGACTTGACTGGGGACTTTTCACTCTGGGACTTGCCTCAGGACTTGAGTCCAAAGACTTGAGACTCACTTATGACATGCAAAACTATTGCTTGTCCAACCAGGTCTCACTCCGAAGTCGTAGAAGTCTGGTGCTTGGTCAATGACTTGCAGTGTCAGACACTGACAGAAAAGCTGTCCTTTAACGTCGGAATGATACAGCTGGTCGCCATTATAGTTTAATGGCACTTGGCGGTACTTGCCAAACCCTGTTCTTTTATCCTAAACCTAACCACGTGGTTTTTTTGCCGAAACCCACCCATGTGCAAAGGGCGAAAGAACGTAAATTCACAGTGTTTTACCAATAGTGTATTTATTTTGAAAGAGACTGTATATAAACAGTAAATTTCCTGTGACAACGGAAGTGTATTTTGATAAGAGTTTGTCAGTGAAGATTCAAGTCATCCAGGTCATGGTAATCATAAGTGCTATATCGTAGGCAACTGGACTTGCTTGCGTTTCTTGAAGACGTTTCGCCTTTCATCCAGGAAGCTTCTTCAGCACTAAATGACTGGTACATTGTTAATGGCTCTGAAACTAAGAGCTCACGTGACCCCGACTCTGCAAGGGTTCACACCCACACAGGGTTTAAAGCCTGACACTCCGTACCAGTCATTTAGAACTGATAAGCTTCTTGGATGAGAGGCGAAACATCTTCAAGAAACGCAAGCAAGTCCAGTTGCCTATGATATAGCATTTACGATATTTTGAAAGTAGACAACGCCTATAACAGGCAGAACTTGACACAGTGTCCCAGAATGCCAAAAGCCAATGCACCCAGTGTACCTTTCATGTCCTATCTGGATTTGGAAAATCCATGACCACACGTCGATATGTGGTGAGGTCAGAGTGAGAATGTGTTGACTTGTCCCACCTCTACTAAACAGCATGCTTTAGCATCCCAACAGGCTAAGCTGCTGATGTGGCTGTAAACATTTGTTCAAAATGTATTAACATATCTAAGTACAGTGGTGTAGTGGAGGGTATACTCAGGTATACGGGGTATACCCACTTCTTTTTCTACCACTACACCACTGTCTAAGTCTACAAGTTTAACCAAGACGCAACAAGCCACACAAACACACAGGGCAGGTTTGGACTCTTCATTTAATTTCTACTTTAAACATAGACCTATCTACCCTTGTTCAGGGCAGCTGCACTTAAATCATTTACAGCGAAATTTATGAACTGACATGCTGAGGCAGTTCAGACGACCCTAAAAAAACATTTGGGATTAAAGCTTAAAAAAACATGGAAGGTTGATGGATGCCACACAAATAGGATTTTTAGCTGCCTGACAGAAAACTGATAAATGACTTCAATTAAGAGGCTGTCCTGGATGGAAAAATACACCTTATTTTCCTCATTCATTCAAGTGATTAAATTTCCAATCGTTAGAGACACAGAGCACATTGAGGGAGCACGCCATGTGAACAGCGGAAAAGTGGAAGTCTTCCAGGTCTTTTTTTCTAATCCTTGATGGAGCGAGAGAGATTTAGTGCGTGTTGTATTCTTTTCTCCTTAAGTGAAACTGCTGACCTGTTCATGCCGCTCTGCTTCTCATTAGTCCTTTGCTTTATTGTGAGAGGTGTGCTGTGCGAAGTGTCAACCAAATGACCCGTCAGAATTATGAGACGTGTTCAACAGATAAGTCCAACACCCCGTCCAGAGTTGGGAGATTTCTTGATGCTGTGAGGAGCAGAGTTCTCTTGAGGGGAAATGTCACAAAAAGACAGCTTTCAAACTTCTTTTTAAAATTTTCCGCACTGGTATCGTTCACTTTGACAGTACATCCAACACTTTCTTGTGCTGCCAGGAATGAGAGAAGAAACATCCATCTTGGCCTCTTTTTCGATATAATCATGATGTGCAGCTCTTCTGAGATTGACGTTGGAAAAATGGAAGCAGGGTGATGTTGATTTCAAAGGGGGGACTGTGATGATACTGTCATCATTTACTTGATAAAGAATGACTGCTGTATCTAAGTTGATTATTAAAAGTTAAACAAACATTCCCCAACTGTACAAAGTCAGCTTCTCCATCACTGTTACTGTTTTCACTGCAGGTTTGAAAATGTGAAGTTCAGGCTCAGGAGAAGAGTGTTTGTTGTTAGGCAAGGCAAGGCAATTTTATTTATATAGCACCATTCATACACAAGGCAATTCAATGTGCTTTACAAGAGAAATATGTTAAGATAAAACATTAAAGGAACAATAGATCATTAAAATCAAAAGCTAAAAGCAAGAAAAACAGTGCAGAAAATGCATTTAGTTAGTCTTTGAAGCTCAGCAACAAGAAATTCACATGCAAGGAGTCAAAATTGAATGACGTTACTTCAAAGAGTATGCAGTAGGTCAGCAGAGATAAGAAAGTAGTGTTTTTTAAATTATCTTCACTGGGTTTGGACAGAAGATTTGATAAGTTGTCTTTGAAATGGTATTCATAACAGCTGATTTACATATTCAAACCTACCAGTTCACCTTTCATGAAAGTGCGTCAGATCCAAAGATCATATTGAGAAATTTTAAATTAATAGCATCTTTGCTTCTCCCATCTCTTCTTCTTTCTCCCAATCACATATGTATACTAAATATTTGTTACTTCTTGCTTACTTTAGTTATTTTTTCTTATAATTTACTTAGTTTACCTTTAGTGTGCAATTATTCTCTACATATTTACTGAAACCAACACACTCTCACTCCCAACTCATCCCATATCGCCACTGGGTCAGTAAATTTTCACGTCTACATATGATGCACTATGTGTCCTGGGTGTATCTGTTGTTGATGTGCTGGAACGTTATGTCAGTTTACGTCTGTTACATGCATTGTGTCCTTTCAAACGCACTTCCATTTTCACAGGAAATGTACAGTTCCTGCTTGTTAGATGCAAACAGTCTTTTTCTAAATAAACGTACAATGTTGGTAAAACACCTTACATTCACATTTATTTCACTGTGTGAAAAAACTACGTGGTTAGGTTTAGGCAACAAAGGCACAAGGTTACATTTAGAAAAATCCATCATGGTTTGGCTCTGCATTCATACGGGAAGACAACATTGGTCTCCTGGGTGAAAGTCCTGTCTTGTTGGACCCATTCTCCACCCCTCCCACCCTGCCTTTACAGACTTTGCAGGTCTTCAAATTACATTAAGGTGTGGTGGCATTTCAAACTGTTGTTGTCTGGTATTAAGTGACACTGCCTGATGGCGTATCACACTGCCAAGAAAGGAAGCCTGTTTCTCGTCTGTGTCTGATGCAGAAATCATTGACCATGTGGTGGAATTTGAGGACTGCGAAATGAGAACAAATTGTGAAACTGTCACTATATTCACAAAGTAGTACACGAGACAGATAATCTGTGGAAAATAATATCTAACAGTCATCATCTCCCCTGCCTACTTTATTTTCTTGTAGCATTTCTAATGGCTTTACCGCATGTGAGCAAAAACAGCCAATCAGAGCTGAGGAGTCTGTAATGCAGCTGTCAATCATGCCAATCACTGCTCATGAATTGAGGTCAAACTGTTAAACTAGGCAAAATATGAATCAAGATCTGCATTATGCATTGTCTAGATGATGCAGTAACTGAATCTTGATTCATATTTAACCAGCACTGCCTTGTTTGACAGTTTTACCGAGTTCAAAAGCAGTGATTGACATAATTGACAACTGTGTTTGAGACTCCTTGGCTCTGACTGGTTGTTTTGTGGTTTTTGCAAATGCCATTAAGAGCACTATGAGGAGGTAGAGGAGCATATTTTTTCACAGACTCTCCTTTGTGTACTACTCTCAGGATATAGCAACAGTTACCAAAAAATAACCATTTGTCATATTGGCTGAAAATATTACCTACTGTAGCTTTAATTTATAGAGTGACCAAAGTTTTATAGTGTCACTGTCCAATGAAAACCACGTATCACCAAATTTGGTGATTTTTATTTTTAAACTGAAAAGTTTTGTATTCCTTTATCAGTTCAGAAGACTCTCCTTCTCCTTAAGCTGAATAAACCAATAAAAAAACACAGTGTTTCTACGATGTGAATAGCCTAGTGGCTGAGTCCATCCATCACAACAATAGCAGGGCCTCTATGACAACATGCACTCCAGTGTACAGTGCACACATTCTTGGCTTTGATGTGTTTATTTTCCTAATTTTGTACAAATCTGCTTGGAAGAAGACTAAAGTCAGATGTTGGTTAGCTTGGCTAAGTCTGGACATATCTGAATCTCTGACTGCTCTGAATGAACACTCATCCAATTTCACTCACTTAACATCACTTGAAAGGTTATGGAGCATATCTGCTCCCCTGCTCTTGGCCTCTCTAATGGCAAACGCATGAGATATGAGGGGTAAATCTACACAAACTATGCAGTTAAATGGAAATTATATAAACCACCACTGGGAACAGAGAGAGGAACTCTTTGATGTCCTGGTACAGTTACTCTCCCAGTGGCTCTGAAGACTTTCTGTAAACTGATAGCCACTGTAAATGACACTCTCATTCATCTGCGCTCGCTCTGGGGAAGTCTGAAGTTAAACACCATTGTGTTGCCTTGAATGTGAAATGAATTGTTTATATATTCCCAGATATATTTTATGAGGTGGAAGAATGACCTTTGTATCATGATGCACTTAGTGCTGAGATATTGCCGCAGAAAGGGTGATTTTTCTTACATCACATGCTTTATGGGCAGTAAATTCACAAATATAAATCCTGTGCAGAGATGATCGACTCATTGTGACACCAAGCACTTGGGACATCGTAAAAGAGGGGTAATATCTTCATAAACTGATAAGTGTATGAGGCAAATGGCTGCTTTTGGTGAATGGACAAGACATTTATGTCAGGTTTATCTGTTCATCTGTTGTGCATTTGCAGTGGTGGATCTTGCTATCGGTGACAGAGGCAACACTCTAGGGTGCCGCTCAGAGGGAGCGTGCCAAAAGTGCTCCACCACCTATATTTCTTCTTTTCTTGTTCTTCTTCTAGTTAGGGGCCAGGCATGCAGTCCTGCCAGGACCCACTTGTTTTCCTGCTCGTTCTTCCTTCCTCTTCTTCTTCTTCTTCTTCTTCTTTTTCTTCTTCTTCTGAGGAAATCCTTCTTCCCATGTGCGAAAAATCACCAAACTCCCACAATTTTTGCTCAATTGACACCAAACTTGCTACAGAGCATCTTCAGACTGTCCTACACATATTGTCCACACAGATTTTTGATTTATCAAAAATTAAGCCTACAGTACATTAAGATGTTTGACTGTAAACAGTACTGTAAACATATACTTGCAAATTCTTGCTAAATAAGTTTTCAATGTTCATGAAAAAAATTAACAAAAATTTGGAGTCATAGATGATGTTTGGCAAATATCAGAATTTTATATCCAAAACTGATGTCATGTGAACCATTGCTGTCAATGGGAATAGAGCATCTTTACACATCAGTTTTTCACTTATGGAGTAAATCAATCATTGTTAAAAACAAATTAACAACATCTCCATGCTGTCTAGATGCAAGATGTGTATTTTCAGATCTTTGTCTTGGTAACTGAATTTATGACAGCAGTTTCAAAATTGCCACATATGAGTTGTCACTTGCTGATTAGCTCAGTCAGATAGAAGCTTCTCCTTGGTGTCAGAGGTTGTGAGTTCAAGCCTCAAGTGATGCAAAATGTATGTTGTAATGGCATCTTTCTTGTTGTCTTCCTATTCTGCCTCTTGTTGCTCAGAATTGCCTAAATTTGCCTAAAATTGCCCAGCCCCAACCATTACTGTGCAGCAGCTATAATTCTTATTATTATTATCATTCATTCATACATTCATTTATTTTCTGAAGCAGCTTGTCCTGTTGGCGGTCTCAGGGGGGGCTGAAGCCTATCCCAGCTGACATTGGGCGAGAGGCGGGGTACACCCTGGACAGGTCGCCAGACTATCACAGGGCTGACACATAGAGACTGACAACCATTCACACTCACATTCACACCTACGGACAATTTAGAGTCACCAATTAACCTGCATGTCTTTGGACTGTGGGAGGAAGCTGGAGTACCCACGCTGACACAAGGAGAACATGCAAACTCCACACAGAGGGCTCCCCCAGCCCAGGGTTATAACTAGCAACTCTCTTGCTGTGAGGCAACAGTGCGTAACATAATTATTGGTATTATTTTTTGTTGTTATTATTATTATATTGTTTGACATTTTAAAAAAAAAAACTGAACATAGTACAACAAAAGCCATCCTCCTTGCAGTACAAAAAAAGTAAAAGTTATAAAACAACTAATATAACAATAAAAATGCATCTATATAATAATAATAATAATAATAATAATAACAATAAAAATGTCCAGTACTGTGTATTGGTAAATAAATAAATACATAATAAGTAAATGAATAAATAAATCAATAAAATCAAATGAAATGAAACACTGAGTGTGCCTTTACCTTCTCTTGGTGCAGCAGGATCCCATGCAGACCACATCTGGACAAAGAAGAAAGGAGTCCAGCACACAATGTAGGCAAGGACCACAACAAATGTCATTTTCACTGTGCGGATCTTTGCTTTGGAGATGAGCCTCACGCTGCTCACTCGACAGAGGGGATGAGCGCCTTTGGAGGGCCTTGGAGTGAGAGCCAAGAAGTGATCCCTTCTGGTTTTTAAATTGAAATTCTGCCATATTTTAAAACATATCAATCCATAGCAGATGCTTAGAATTGCCACTGGGAGAATGTAAATGCTGAGACTCATCCATGTGATGTATGCTTTGGCCCCCCATGGTTGTATGAAGTCCCCCCAGCAGTCATACTCTCCGTTCCCGACGTCCCTCACAGAAAATATGTATGCTTGAGGAGTGCTGAAGATCAGGCTGAGCATCCACGAGGCGATCACACAGAAGCGATCTTGTTTTTTGTGCACCGAGCGGAGAGGCTGGCAGATTGCTAAGCACCTGTCGATGGACATCAGGACGAGCACGTAGGTAGACGCAAACATCCCCACCACCTGGAGGTATTTAACCAGCCTGCACAGCAAATCCGGCCCGTAGAAGCGAAACGTGATATCCCAAATGAGTTGTGGCAAGACCTGAAAGACTGCAACGACAAGGTCTGCGATGCTCAGGTGTTTCATGAAGTAATACATCCGAGACTGGCTGTGCTTGGAGGTGTGGATGGCCCACAGGACGCACAGGTTGCCGGTCAGAGCGAGCAGCAGCACCAGGACCAGGACGGCAACTTCCACTTTTGCCACTTCTTCATTTCGTTTTAAAGGGTTCATTGTGGTGTTTCCTAAGTTGCTGTCATTGCCACGACTTGAGTTGCTCCAGGAAACATTCTGCGACCAACTATTCTGCTCGCGTAAAAGGTCCTCCATCGTGCGCAAAAGCGCCACTTTGGCGCAGCAGCAGTCACATCACAAGACAGATTGAGGACCGTTATCCGCTGTGTGGCAGTTGCCCCTCGGGTTTAATTACTGTTTAATCCAAAAAGCAGTGTCGCCTGCAGAGGAACACAATTTAACAGTTCACTTAACAAAAACTCTGATTAATTGCACACTCATCCTAATCCTTTAAACTATTAAAACTTAACAAATATATTAAATCTCCCAACCATACACACGTGATTTTGTTCACACGTAGCTTACCTATTAAGCGATCCTTTGCAGTATTATTTTGGGATCTCGGAGCACTGCAGTCCTCATCCCTTGCTGCACCCAGATTGATGTGTGGTTTGCAGAAGCTCTGTATCCTACCACTGTCACTAACCCCCTCCCCTCATCTAATTTTCTTCGAAAGGAACTGAGCAGAGTGCACGTTGTAACTCTCTCTTTCTCCCTCCCCTGTACATTGTTTAAGTTTTGACTTCATGAAGCGCTTTGTAAAATCAAATATCCCCAAACAGCATTTGGGCGATGTTATCTCATATTGCATGCGTCAATCCTTATAGCATCTACATGATTTGAAGTGATCCCTTGTTAGAATCAAAAGGAGGAAAATTCCACTGTGATCCAGCAGAGCCTTAAAGGGTAACTTGTTTTCCAAAGAAAGCCACTAAATACGGAAAGAGATGTTATCTGGGGCTGGAACAGTATGTTTTGGTAAGATATAATTACACCTAAGTAAACTGTGCTGTAAACTGGTACTTTATATGCACAAGCTCAATCAGTGTGGCAGGAGAAGTCAAAAAGCATCAGCGTGCCAGGGCAGAGAGTAATTCAATCCAGTTGCACATCAAACAAGCAAAAAAAAAAGGGTGATTGTGACATTTGTGTGTGTCCAAATGCAACCATAGCAAACTGCTGTCAAAGATAACTAACTCCCTGAGGCGATATTAAATTCCCCAAATTCCTCCCCGGAAGTCAAGTCAAGGAAGGATTCCTGCTCTAAACTGACGCCTCACTCAAAATAACCTCTTCCTTTTTTGGACCCATGCACTAAATAGAGATAAAAGACACTTCAAGTCACTAAAACAACCATAATGTATTTATTCCCTTGCATCCTATTTAAAATAATCATTTTATTGTTGTTCCATTAGCAAAATAACCTGACCGCATCTGCCCTCTGAACAGAAAAACTTAAGATTATCTTGCCTTTGCATGTTTCTGAAACTGACACAAGTTATATAAACATTTAAACATTAAAACCTATAAATTAAATGTGAACCTGGGTTTTTCTTATTTATGCTTAGCCTCAAAGAATCAGGTGACTTTTGCTTTTGCTTGAGTAAAATTATTATTGTTCTCAACCATGACATGGACATGTGAACATCACATGCACACTGTCGAAACTGTTGTTCCCTCTGATTTATACACGCTCAATTGAACACTTGCAGGTGCTGTTTTGCCACTTATTTGTTCAGCTGAATAGCTCTCATATGAGGTGTTTTGTTGTACGTGTGCTAGATACAATCTGACCAGACAAGATGGCAGATAAATGGGTCTCTTTTTCCCCCACTGGTATAGCAGATCATGTAATATTCAGTACAGGTCAGCCGTGACCTGCAGCCCTGATGTGGGGCACTCAAACACAGTCCAAATACAAATTAAGTGCTGCAAACTATAACCAACCCATTTTAATAGATAGATAGATTTTTATGCAGACCTGACTGTCCGTTGTGTTTGGTGGCTGAGCCAAACCACACACTGATGGACGCGGTTTGGATCAGCTACCTAACAGGCCTGCTTGAATAATCATTCTGTTTTCATCATTGAAACGACTGGAAAATTACTAGAAAAAGACTAAATGAGAAGCTAAAGTTCTAAATGTCTCGATGTCCACGGTGAATAATTGAGTGAATTACCTGCTGATTTGCTGGATTGTCGTCACCCATCCATCTGGGGATCAGATGATATACTATCAAATAGTAACACCTTGTTCATACCTCACGGCCTTTAAAGTATGCAATAAGCTTTTTAGTCCAGGTTCTCAAATGAAACTACTTACTCATGTTAAATGGTTTTTCTTAGCTTGTGCAACACTCGTCCCCAGATGACAGCCTTTGAATGCTGGATTAAATCAGCTTTGCCTGACTATGTCAAGAAATTGGACTTAAAACAGTGTGGAATGCCCACAGCCTGTCTGAACAGCCTGAACCAGCCTTAATTTTGGATTTCCCTATAGTTTGCAGTGCACTTGAACGCACCCTGTGAGGTGACACCTGAAGGGCATTGATCAGCAGGCTATGGAAGGACCAAGCTGCCTGACCCTGAATTGTCATGCTGAACAGGAGGAATCTAATGACCAGCCCCTGGATCACCACAAAGGTCTGGACCACAAGTTCTCACCCAAAGCACTGAGGTAACAGAGCCTCTTTTAACCTCTTTTGATTTTATGGTGACCCACCTGCCTGGACCTGTTTTTAACTTTCAAGTGCCCCCTTTTTGTTTTTAAATGGGCCTATATTAAAAATATTTACTGTTTAAGACATAAGGTTTCCAAGGTGACCTGCTGGAATCAAGATGTTGCTTCCCTGCTCCAAGAAGAACAACCTAATATGGCTTTGGCACCAATGACCAGGGGCGTAAATATAAGCCCTTTTTAAATAGGAATTGTGCAAATTTGCAGGAAAGTCCAATCAGTCTTCTTTCACCATTGGCAGTATAAAAACAAAATCGGGGAGTGCAGCAAAATGCCGCCTACCTACTTTTGTTTATACAGAAGGCACCTTTTTCAGGTCAATGGGGGGCGTGAGCAAGTAACACAAGCTCAGCGTGTGATGTAAACAGTGACGTAGGAGGGAAGCTGCGGCTGGTCAGTCCTTCGGCGATTCTCTCGTAAATCGGCCCGTTCTTCACCGTTCCCGTCATCTGACTGTTAATGGCCTCTTCGTTTGCGAGGGCAAGGAGGGTGCGCAATTCCTTGTCTCCCCAGTTGCTCATCTTTACAGTGTCTGTCAGGTTTGCGTTTCCCTCTTGCTACTAGCTGCTCGCTAATTCCTGCTGTCAGCTGTTTCCTGTTTATCCACCGCCAGTGGGTCGCACGTGCGGCATCATCAACAGCTCCTCCCACAAGTCATCAACAGCCCCTCCCATTGCGGAAGGCCACCTCGGTCTGTTTAAACTAAAAGGATTCCGCCAATATGTCTACCCTACGAGGCGGAAAATTGGGCACCTCGGATCAACTCGCCAATCCGGCTCCGTGTGTCTAAACGCTCGCAGCTTGCCGGCAAAACAGCCAAACATTCACGGAAAATCTGGCAGTGTAAAAGGGGCTATAGACAGTGCAGGGAGTGTGGTTGCTTGGGGCCCGTTGGGTGGGGGAGCCTTGCGAGTGATTCAGATTGCCACATTGAACTACACCTTTTCAAAGAAGAACTCAACATTAAATATACAATGGTGCCATTTGCTATTTGCTTCTTTTTTCTTTTCTCTCTTTTCTCTTTATGTAAAATATTCATTCATTTTCTGTAACCGCTCATCCTGTTAGGGGTCGCGGGGGGGCTGGAGCCTATCCCAGCTGACCTTGGGCGAGAGGCAGGGTACACCCTGGACAGGCTGCCAGACTATCACAGAGACACATAGAGACAGACAACCAGTCACACTCACATTCACATCTACGGCCAATTTTGAGTCACCAGTTAACCTTCATGTCTTTGGATGGTGGGAGGAAGTTGGAGTACCCAGAGAAAACCCACGCTGACACGTTTTTTATTTTTTGTAAAATAGTCAGTAGCAATCTATAACAAAAATACATGCTTATTCTACATGAACTTGAAAAACCATGAATTAACTACATACGTGAAAAACTATTCAATTAAATGAATTATTTCTTATTTTCTTTGATATTTTTGTCATATACAGGTATGCAATGACAATTGTTGGGTAACATGTTTGTTGATATTGCCTTATGTTAAGTCTCTATTTGATCATGTGACAACACGTTACGATCTGGTAGCTAGTTTAGGTGCAAAATCTGTCAAGACGGACAAGCTGAGCACATCTGCAAGTCCAGCGAGCAGTCATGCCTTTTAAACCTAAAAGCAGCATTAAGAAAGAACAGGAGAAAAAAGTAGCAAAGCTCCCCAAATTAACAGTTTGCAGTGGTGTGTGTGTGGGCACCTCATCACGAGTAACTAGCCTGCATTAGTGCCTGTCACAAGAGCATGCACTAGGGCCCATGGTAACTACCTTATGCCACTGCCAGTTTGAAAGACTGTGGAGACAAATATTTGGGACGAAAGAGATGAAAAGGTGAACAAAGTAAACAGTCATGCGCTAAAACAGAGATCGCTTTTAAAGGTTAAATGCACCACAAGCAGAATGAAGGGTAATATTTCACTGACTTCGCAGGCACACACAGAACCTTTTATAGGAAATACAAAGTAGAGAGATCATTACTGTCATATTGTGGCATTTTCCAGGACATGTGCCAGATAGCTGATATGCAATATTTTCCTGAATCAAAATAAGAGAGGTTGGGGGGTGAACTGCTAAATATGTCCTATGCCAGCTCTGGCTAATAAAATAGATATTTGTGGTCAATACATCATCCAAGGTTTCATAAAAACAAGTTGCATGTGAAATATGTTTTATGCAGGGTGCTAATTTGTTTACCTGTTGTTCACTGTGCGGGTGTGGTTTGATCAGATCTGACTGACAGTGATTTGGCAATAAAAAATCACACCACATCATCACATTTTAATTCAAATGTTGCTACATCTTGACTGCTGTACAGATATACTGTATGTGTGTTAACCTTCCCCTAAATGAGCTGTGACGACCCCCTCCACCAGGGCACTGGGTGTCCTGTTTCTGTTTCCTCAAGGGCTTGTCTGTTCCTTGTTTGACAGGGTGTAGATTTGTGTAGCACAGTTGGTTCTGCTGGTTGGAAATGGCTTGATGGGCTGCACAACTGTGCTGTGCACTTTGATAATATAGTGATCTACACCAGGACGTAGAGAGATCATGTCCATTACATCATGAAGCTGTTTGATCTACTGCATCTACGCAATGCACACCTGACAGCCAACTTGGCAAAGTGTGAGTTCGGGAAGGCCGTGGTATCTACCTCAGGATGGTAGTGGAGCAAGGGCAGGTGCAAGTGAAGGTGACTGCAATTGCATAATATCCAGTGCCCGCAACCAAAAAGGCGCTCATGTGCTTCCTGGGTCTGGTGGGTGACTGTCACTGTTTTTGGATTTTTTCCACTGTTGTAGCTCTCTTGACAGATGTGTTGAAAGCTACAATAAAGCAAGGTATATCTGGTCAGCTTCATGTCAGCAAGCTT